ATCATGATCAAGTTAACCAAAACATAAGCGAATAGGGGCCGACTGCTCCTCCCCCGCTCCCCTTGCTCGAAACGCAATCATGGGAGAAACCTCTGTCACGAGGAAGGGTAGACCCCCCAACACCTTGGGCCTGGAGAAATCGTTGCCAGAGCTCTTTCTCTACCATCATTTGCCTGTTGTCCCAAGTCACTTCAATCAATTCCGGGTCGGCATGGGGAGGCTGTGTACGCTGGCTTTGAGGTTGGTCAACAGCCATGTCGATGGGACCAGCCTCATTGTTCGCCTGATGCTCCCAATCCCGACCTACAACCTGAGTGATGACGAAACCTTCCATCAGGCTCCGGTCCATGGGAGAGGTGTAACAAAACCTATTCCTCTTAGGGACATTCAAATATTCCCTGATCTCTAGCAGCACCCTATAGTCTTTGAAGTTTTTTTCGTGGTGACATCAGCGGAGCAGTACACGCATTGACCGATGCCCTCGAACAGTGATTGGAGGAACTCCCACTTCCAAAGGTGGTAGGGGAGATTGAAGAGACAGACCCGCGTATACATGGGGTTGGACAATGTTCTTAGCCTGTGGTCCTCCCTCCAAAGCCTGAATCTGCCCACGAAGGACCCAAAAGTTACCAGGCTGAGCTCGATGGCTTGATCTAGTAGTTCATCAGAAGGGAATTTAACCAAGAAGCTATTTGCAGATACCCGCTTGATCTCATAGGTCTAATCTTAGACGTTGAAGTGATACCCTAGCATCTCTCTGAGCTCCTCCAAAGATGGTAGGCCCAGCTCAGGAGTGAAGATGGCGAAGGTAGTAAGTTTCTGAATGTTGCTGGCGAACGGGGAGCAATCGTGGAGAGGAGCTTGCTCTCAGACCATGAGGGCAACCCCGAGAGATATGCCCCGAGCCATGGCAATGGATACAGACGCTATCATCATGAGACATGATCTTCTGGTTTAGGAAACGAAGAGAGTGTAGTTGATATAAGGCTGGGATGCCGGGAGAAGGGTTTTAAGCTTGTTCGTAAACCTAACGTAGAGAATGACAGTGATGGGAAGATTGATGGGTGTGTCGTATGGTCTTGTCATTAAACAGGCGAAGGGATGAGGGTAATTGCCGCGCCGCGTGGTAGCTGGGAATAGCGAGGAGCCATGTGATAATACTGCCTGTCTTGGGAACATACACTACTATAAAATGTATTTAATGCAGAGAGAAATCAAAATTTTTCTATTGGTTACCTTGGAAACTAAAAGGCTAAACTTGACAACCATTCCATAAGCTTAACAACAAAGCGCTAAACTTAGCAACTAATCCATAAGCTTAACAATAAAACGCTAAATTTAGCAACCAATCCATAAGCTTAACAACAAAGCGCTAAACTTAACAACCATTCTATAAGTTTAACAACAAAGTGCTAAACTTATCAACCAATCCATAAGCTTAACAACAAAGTGCTAAACTTGACAACCATTCTATAAGCTTAACAACAAAGCGCTAAACTTAGCAACCAATCCATAAGCTTAACAATACAACGCCAAACTTCATAATAAATCAAAAAGCTTGACAACCAGCACATAACCTTGATAGTAACAGACAAGCGATAGTCTCTTAGACCAAAACTATAGGTATACATTTACTTCCGCAAATCAAATAAACATATACATTTAATATCAGGCCAAAACTTTAACAACCAATGGCGAACATTCACCCAAAAGGCAAGTGATTGCCTGATATGATACAACACCAAACATTAACAACCAAGAGCTAAACTTGACAACCAATCTATAAGCTTAGCATTACAATTCCAAACATTAACAACCAAGAGCTAAACTTGATAACCAATCCATAAGCTTAATAATAAAACACCAAACGTAACAATAAATCCATAAGATTAACAACCAGTCAATAAACTTGACAGCCAATCCATAATCTTAACAATAAAATGATAAACTTAACAAAATAACCTTGTATCAAGCAATGATTTTCTTTACAATCATGCTACAACCTTAACAACAAACAAATAAGATTATCAACAACCCCGTAAACTAAACAACAAATCCCTAAGCTCAACAACACAATGACAACTGTATGTACAACCATTGTCTCTGCTCTAAGTTCCATAACCGTATGTGAATATAACTGGCTCCCTTCAATGAGCTTGTACAATAACATGACAGTTAAGATTCATAAGTGCGTGGAATATAAGCAATTCAGATGGATCAATGCATGAATCACATGGGAAGGCAGGCATATGCTAGTGGAGTAGTCCTCTGACTTACGTTAATACTATATAGCTATACAGTGTTAACGTAAGCCAAAGGACTATCTCCACCAGCATATGTCTACCTTCTCATGTGATTCATGCATGACCCATCTGAATTGATTGTATTCACTGCATTTTTGAATCATAACTTATCGTTAATGTACAAACTCTTTGGAGGAAGTTACATACATTCACCCACAGTTCATGAAACTAAGAGCAAAGACAATGAGGATAACATATTCATCAGTGTGAGGGATATCCAAGATCTTCATTAATGTGCGTCCTTATCGCCATGACCTTCATCAGTGTGAGGACTAGGATTGATCTTCTGGTAAATGGTGACAGGAGAATTTGAAGGTTTTGGGGAGAGGGTAAAAGCTTGGGATTTACATATAAAGGAGGGAGTGTCAACAGAGAGTCGGCGATGGGGAGATCGATGAAAGATTGCGCCAAAAGGTTATCATATCTATCATATAGTTGAACAGACGAAGGGATTGTGATGTTACCATATGGGATGTGGGATAGGTAGGAGTCCATATTATCTTAACTCTCCTCCTTGAGAACTAGGAAATACATTGAATGCAGTAGCAGAAAATATATTTCGGTGACCGTGACAACCAAGCACAAGTGAATAACAGTAAACATAACATTCAATCGATAAACCTAACAACGAAATAGTAATCTTAACAGCCAAGCCATGACCTTAACACTTCTAACAATATACTTGGCAACAAATCTATATACATGACAATAAAACACTAAAGTATATAGGCTCGTTACAAGTTGCACACTGAACTATATTAACATTAATTAGCATGAATTTACAACCCGGTGCTAACCTTAACAACCAATCGAAGACACAACCTTGTCAACGAAATGCAAAATAACAACCTAGCGCTAACATTGACATGCAATATATAACCTTGATAACCAATCCATTAGCTTTACTATACAACATTAAGGTTAACAATAAACCCATAAGCTTAACAACAATGGCCTAACATCAACATAAACCCATAAGCCTGCCTGCCCAAGTGACTTCACTATTACAATGGAGATTTCTTGGATTCTGACTGTATAATAGCATCAACCATTGAATGCTAATAACGTTAGCTATTCCCCCTGTCTTTTCTCTAAGTTCCATCAGCTGTGCCTGAACACAAATGGCTTTCACCAAAGAGCTTTCTAGCAGCCTGGTAAGTTCACGGAAAGCTCTTTGGAGAAAGCCATTTATATTCATGCCCAGCTGATGGAACTTAGAGAAAATGACAATGGGGAATAGATAAGGGTAATAATATTCAAAATATGTTGATGCTATTATATGGTCAAAACCTATAAATATTAAAGATGTCTTCATCAGCATGAGGGCTAGTCGTGATCTTATGGTTTATGAGATTAGAGAGGGGCGAGCTTAGAATGATCGAGAAAAGAGTGAGGATAAAAAGAGTGGCGGTGATAGGAAGATAAAGAAGATGTAAATGTGAGGAGAAATGTTATAGGCTGGTTCTGTATTAGAACAAGCCGAGGGATGGTGAGATAACTCTACTGCCTTCGGAACTATGAAATACATTGAATGCAGTCAAATCAAAAATATCTCGGTAACATTGATAGCCAAGTGCAAGTGAATAATAGTAACCTTAACATTAAAGTGATAAACTTGACAACCAAGTAATAACCTTAACAACCAATCTATAAACTTAACAATTTTAACGATATACTTGATAAAATTCTGTAAACATGATAGCCAAACAGTATTCTTATCAACCACTCCATAGACTTAACAATAAAAACGCTAAACTATATAAGTTTGTACGTAATTTTGATGATTGTGACCCTCTATGTTGTGTCGAGAGCACTTAACAAGACGGGTGTCCAGCGACCTATTTTTAACAAAACAAACTCGTCTAGTACATGGTCTTCCTAGTCTTTTTTTGTGAGAGGAGGCTTTAACAATCGGTGACACTGATAACTAAGTGCAAGTGGATAACAGTAAACTTAACATTCAATCGATAAACTTGACAACCAAGTCAAAACTTTAACAAACAAGTCATAAACTTAACAATCAAATAATAACCTTAATAACCAAGCCATGACCTTATCACTTGTAATGATATACATGACAACAAATCCATATACATGACAATAAAATGCTAAACTATATAGGCTCGTTACAGGTTGCACGATTGTGACCCTCTATGTTGCATCGAGAGCACTTAACAGGACGGATGTTCAACAACCTGTTATTTATTCGTCTAGTACATGGTCTGTCACGTCTTTTTTGGTTAGAGGAGGCTTTAACACTTGCTCTTCTGGCGGTACAAAGCGCTTCTCGTAATCTGTGATGGGAAAGATAATCGGTGTATAACTTGCTATAAATACGTCAACATTCATGTAGCAATCACAATATTGATAAATTTCCCATCTCATGCATGTAATTATAGTGCACGCATGTTTGCAAGGAATGCGAGTGATGTCCCAGGAGCTGCAAGAACATGCCCGATTCTTCAAATCTACACTGAAAGTTTTATTGGACTCGACCTCCACAATATCTTCCGTCAAATGTTTAATCGCCAAGCAGCTACCATGTTGAATATTATCGCACAGCACCATCTCCACTTCCGGGCATAAGTATCCAGACCATTTCTGACCCACTAGCCTCCTTTCATGCATGCTCTCCATTATTTGCTTTCGTATGGTCTCAACCAAAGGTGAGATTCCCGACAATCGTGCCTTTCTTATCTAGCTGTTGAAGGACTCGGTAATGTTTGAAGTAACATGGCAATACCTTAACAACAAAACACTAACATTAACAATAAAACCATAACCTAAACATTAAAGTCCTAACCTTAACAACAAAATTCTAAACTTAACAACAAAACCCTAACAAAATAATTCTAACCATAACAATAAAAAACTAACATTAACAGAAAACTGTAGGCTAACTCTAACCTAAACAACTATAATGGTGCTCTAACAAAATAACGTTGAAACCAAGCTATCTTACCTTATACCAGGAAAATACTTGTTTGCCCATCTTTCCGGGGAGTATTCCATTGCAGTGACGTAAGCCTGTGATTGATCGCTGCCAATTCTTTTATGTTATCATCCCATTCAGAAATTGTGAACTTATAAGTCGCAGATTATAACAACTCGCCCAACGTAGTAGCGACATTTACCTTGTGCCCAAAATTCTTCATATTCTTTTTAAAATTCTCAACTAGATGCAGAACACACCTTGAATGGAATGCATCTGGAAAGAATTCCTTGACTGTTGCCCTAATACCCTTGTCAGCGTCAGAAATCATTATCAGTCGACGTAGAGGTTGGTAAGGATTTTTCCTATCATACAGTAACGTCCACAATCCTTGTAAGAACCATTTCCAGTTAACCTCATTCTCCTGGTCGCATACGCAATAAGCAAGGGGAAATATTCCCCAGTTGCCGTCATACCCAGTGGCACTAAGTAGTATGCCTCTGTAGCGATTTTTAATAAATGTTTCATCCAAAAACAATAGAGGCATGCACCCAGTAATGAACCCTTCAATACAGGCATTATAACTAATGAACAATCGCCTGAACCTCCCGTCATCAGCATCAATAACAACACAACTCCATGGATTAGTTGCATACACCATGGATTCATACCTGCATGAATATAATAACAAAGTAGTAAATTTAGCAACGAATTCATAACCATAACAACTGATCTTCAAACTTAACAACCAATACATATACTTAACGACGAACTAACAACTTTAACAACTAATACGTATAGTTAGCAACCAAAACGTAAGAGTGATTTCAGAAGAATAAAAAAGAACGTACCATCTTAGTGAATCGTAAGCCTCATCATCGTCACCAAACAGTTCCTGTTGAGCTGTCTCCTTGCCCCAACTGTAGTTAATTTTGATGCCAAAATTAGAGAGCATGTCGTTCTTAATATCAATTGCACGAAGATCTGGCATAACCTTCAAAACAACTTGTATTTGTCTAGCAATGAACTTCCTTGATGCCCTTGAGTTGCCATCATTTTCTCCATGTTGATCGTAGGTGTGGATAGATTCAAAATTCTTTATGGACATGGTAGACGAATTTCTAAGCGGGGAAGAAAACAACATCCAAGGGCAACCATGTGTGTGCTTGAATCGGAAATAGACTCTTATGCGCCTTTGTTCATTATGGTAAAAATCATACTCGAACCGTTTAGCAATTGAATAGTATTGAAGTGCTAATCTAACTTTTGCAGTACTATCAAATTTTTGACCAACTTCACGTATGGAGGTGTGCCACTCAGTTGGGATCTTTGTTTGGTAGTTAAGCATGTATTCCAGCAGCATGATCGAGTCACCGATGGGGTTATCATTAGGAATATGCTCATCATTACAGGTTTGGGTGAACGTGGTATCTGCGCACCATGAATTTTCTGTCAGTATTATCCTGAAGTAGTAATAAAAATACATAGCCTCAGCAACGAACTAATAACCTTAACAACAAACTCATAAATGTAACAACCAACACATATCCTTAATAACTAACCCTTATACTTAAGGACAGACTCGCGACCTTAACAACAAACGCATATACTTAACATCAAATACCTTATCATAACAACTAACTGGTATATGTAATAGCGAACAAATAATCTTAACAACCAGTCCTTAACCTAACATTGACAACCAACTCATTACCTAAGCAACCAATGCATAAGGTTAACAACTAATGGTAAAATCTATCAGTGAACTCATAAGGAAATCCGGAGTGTAATTCCTACGCATTTTTCGGCGTAGTCTGCGTGTTCTGTGAAGTTGAGGATTCCCCAATGGAGGTAGCATACAAATTCGTGTTTGTAAATCCATTACGCCGACAATACTCAAACATTAAATTTAAGTCATCGACATTGTCAATTGAAATACTGAATTTCTTTTCCCTTTCGTATATGAACTTCAGTGAAAAAGATTGCATTGGTATTTTAAGCATTTTCGACACTTGATATTTCAAGGTGATTATTTCTGTATTCTCTTTGATAATGACGAATACATCGTCACCATCTTTGTTGTTTTTTGTCTTCGTTACCACGCATAGAAGAGATGCATCCATTATTTTATTACAGGGAGTAGTTGAAGAATCGAAGAGCTTTTATTGAGGAGAATTAAGGGGAAGTAATAGATTAGTTAGGGTAATAGAATAGGGAGGAACTTAGCAATTTTATTATGTGTTATTACCATATTGTGTTGAATAAATAAATAGATTTAGGTGTTATTACCATATTGTGTTTTTAATCTACTAGATTTTATGCACGTGGTTAAATACTGTGATTAGGTATTTTTAGTTTATTTTCTTACTAAAATTTATTCCTCGATTACACTTTGATTATTTATTTATTTGATGTTTGTTTGAATATGCTACACTCAGTTTAAATTTTTATGTTGATAGTTGAATTGTCAAGAGATAAATATAATCTTAAGCCAATTTAAATTTTTATTCCATTTGGATCGGCATGAAACCAAGCTTGACCTTAGAAAGTATAGTGTTATGAAAGTGAAAACGCTTGAAAAATTTATATTATAAAAGAAAGATGAATAATAAAGCCAACAAACCAAGATGATTGATTTAAAGTGGGCTAAATAATGACAAAAAATTGTTAATGAAAAAATTATAAACTAAAGATTAATGCTAACTATAGTATACTTTTATATGATAAAAGCATCCACATATGCATATGAAAACACTAAAAATAGTTTATGAAAATCTCTTCTAAAGATTTCTAATTTTACTAAAATAATTAAACTATTCTATAACTATTAACAAAATATTATCTTTTATTGTTCTATTTTATTTTTTATCGAGTCGAGATTAATTATTATTCATCTTTATCTTTTTCCTGGCAATTCTAGAGTAGTGTCTTTATTGTTTACATTGACTGCGATATGAGGCTGGAGCATGTTATCTTTCCTTGGGCTTATTCATCTTTTGTCTTCTCGTCTAAATTCACAAAGAAGTTGAATATGTTTATCATATTCAACACAAAATTATGACAATATGGACTTTGATTTTTTTCCTATTTTAATAAGAATAAATATTAATTCCATATATTTGAAATTTTTTATGCTTTTAATTTATTACTTAAATAATGTTAGGAGCTACCTCTTTTGCCTCTGCAATGAATCCTTCTGTTGTGTATCCAATAAGAATTTCTATTGTGTCATAATGTTATCTTTGCTTTGTCTATGTCATTTTTTATGAGGATCTGAAATACATACATTATATTTTTCGTTGTCAATTTGCTTTAGATTATAATATTAATATTTAATTTTAATATATTTATTTTATGAAGAAGGTATATCACTTAACCTTAGTTCTACATCATTGATAATTCTACAACATTTATCATTTGGATACTTATTATTAACATCTCTATCCATTTTCTTGTTGCAGCCTTTACAAACATAGAACTACTGCTCAACTGTATTATAAATGGTAGTTATCGTTGTCTTAAAGGTGCGATAGTGTGTCTGTATATTAGTAAATTATTCTTAGGTTTAATTGTATGAATTTTAGAGTAGGTTTTCTGAGATTATACCTCTTTCGAATGTTAATGGTTGTATATATTAGTAATTTAAATTTCTGTTGTATTTATAAAGAGCCTTAATGGAGATGTTTTTATCTTGGCAGTTTACTCTAAAAGAGTGTTGCATATTAGCCCTAAATATAATATTTTTTACAGTGTTAAATGGATGTTTGCTTGGTTTATTTAATATTCTCTTACTTCTTCAGTAAGTTGTATCTTTGGGTTGATATATATTATTGATGCAATTTATGATGACATGCATATCTGCACTATAAATTTAAGACAGATATAAAGTAAATTTTATATTTAGTAGCCTTTAAATAAGAATTTTAGTAATGAAATATATTACCTTCATATTTAGAGATCTTGAAATCTAATAGTGCTATTACATCATTATTTTTGATCATGTCTTTAAGAATTGATTATTCGTTAGTAGTCATACTCCTAAATAAAGTCACACGCAGGGTTGTGATACTATATAAGAAAAAGGAAAAGGGCGATTTTATTTTTTTGCTTACGCAGAGTCATGGCATAGTAATTTTTCTTTTATCTTCCATGAAGAATGTTTCTTTGATTGGAATAAAGTTGTTCAATATATTCTTCATGGGAGATTTAGTCGGTGGTTCTTTGATAAATATAACTTATGTTAGTGTTAATTGAAGTAATTCATGGACGTTCTGAATTCCATTTGAAATAAAAACTGCTTGATTCTTTTGAAGGATATCTCTATGTTTTCTGATAGTTCTACATATATAAATCTTTATAATTTTTTATCCTATAAATATTATTACCATTAGAGATCAATATTTATAAATTATAATTAATTAATGTTAAGCTATTATATTATAGTCTTTTATTAGTTTTTTATGATTTAGTCTTCTATAAACTAATAATACTTATGTATTTTTGCTGCTTTAACATATTGATAAAAATTATATGCAATTACTTTAATTTATACAATAAATTTAATTTTTAATCTATCATATATTTTTAATTTTTTATTCTTTGACTGGATATTTTTAATCTATTATTATTGTTATTTTTACTAGCATCAACTTGACTTTTTTTAGATTCTAAAAAAGATAGTAAATATTAAATTATAAGTTACATTTATATATCTTAATAAAAGAATATCAAACAATTACTCTTTTCTTTGTCAAGTTTTAGAATTTTAGCTTTTTATTTTGTGTAATTTTAAACTTTTGAGATTTTCTCTAATTTTTAAAACTTTTTTTTGTAATACTTCATGTAATGCACTGATATCACAGAGCTGTTTCATATATTTTATTAATCTTATTTAAATTATTAAGCTATAGATAGTTCATGGGGGTATTAGGATAAGATATAACTATGATTAGATAGATTATAATTTAAATTAAATATTTAAAATAGTACATGGTAATTTTGACTACGGAAAGCTTTTCCCAAACTCGTGCTTTTAAAAGGAGTATGATATGATTTTTGTTTTCCTTAATTTTTTTTATAATTTTGAGAATGACTTTTGTCTCTTTAATTTGTTTGGTAGATTTTGTAAATATCCCATCCACATTATGTACATTTGTAAGTCTGTGCTATTTCTGGGTTTGACCTTTGGGGCAACCATTATTTGTCTTATTAATTTATTTGGTTTTTGCATATACACCCTTCATTTTGTAGACATTTATAAATTTAGCATTTAACAATTTCATTTAGATTTATATTTCAATTTAAATTGTATCCTTATCTTTATACTATATATATCCAATAAGAATTCATCAATTTATCAAATTACTCTTACTTAATGGATTAATATTTGAATTTCAAGGGTATTTTTATCTACTGAAAGATTTTTTCGAACTCGTACTTTTAAAGAGAGTATGATTAATATAATAACGTGTTTTAAGTAACACTTCATCATTATTACCATATTATGGTTAAAACTTGAAATACCTTTTTTAAATTGGTATTTTTCCAAAAAAAGAAAAAAACACTTACTAATATACCCCCCCCCCCAAAAAAAATAATAATAATAATAATTTATTGACTTGTTTTGAAGTAACACTCAAACATCGTACCATATTATGGTTAAAGAGTTAAAGTCTTGAAATTAATAGATTTAGGTGTTTTATTTAAAAGGTTTGGTTAAAGAGTTAAAGTCTTGAAATTAATAGATTTCTGTATTTTATTTAAAAGGTTTTGTTGAAAAATACTTTAAGATAAGGTGATAATATTAAAACTATCTTTAAACTTCAATTAATAAGCAAAAGAAAATAAAGGTATATGACATTCTTCCCATGTGAAGCATAATTGGCTTATTCTTCAAGAAGGTTTTTCATATCCAAGCTATAACTAACAGAATATAAATAGAAAAAAATAGGCATTAGATGACATCGCCTTTTACTAAATGAGCTATAAAAATATGAGCATGTGATGATGCTCACCTTGTTAGTCACATCAAAATGTATAGATTTTATCCCTCTATCTCTTAACGGCTCATTTAGAATCAGCACCTCATAACCATTATTTCCATATAAA